TCTATTGTATATAAATACCACTTTTCTTTAGTCATCCTTTTTAGTCATATAGGCTATTTCTAAGATTTAGCTATTTATTATAAATTGTGCTGCTAGATTTATACCTATGGATTCCATATTTTTGATGCTAATTTAAGTGGTATTCCTTTCTAAATATTATTACTTCCAATTTTTATTGCCAGTATAAAGAAATATATTTCTATATTGAGCTTATAAGACCTTGTGAAATTTAGTTATAGAGGGGCCGGGGATTTGGCTCAGTGGTTTCGCTGCCTGCTGCGCAAGTGCAAGGACCCAAGTTCGATCCCCTACCAAAAAAAAAAAAAAAAAAAGATTTTGGGCTTGGGATTTAGCTCAGTGGTTCCGGCGCCTGCCTCACAAGCGTAAGGTCCCGAGTTCGATCTCCGGTACCAAAAAAAAAAAATTTAGTTATAGATCTAGTTTCTCTGTATCTTTATCTGTATCTGTCTCTCTCTTTCTCTCTCAGAGGTTTCTTTTGTAGATTGCTAGGTAAGCAGTCATATTGTCTGAAAACTTTTATTTTTCCCTTTCTAAAATGTATATCTTATTAGTTCTTTTTCTTTCCTTATTTTACTGGCTAAGACTTCAAGTACAGTGTTGAATGCAAGCAGATAGAATGGGCATCTTTGTTTTTTTCTTGATTTTGGAGGAAAAATATTTAGTCTTTCACTATTAAATTCACATTAGTTATAATTTTTGTAAACATTTAATCAGGCTGAGGAAAGCTTTTTTTATTTTTAGTATTTTGATAAGTTTTATCCTGAAGAGATGTTGAGCTTTGTCAAGTGTTTTTCACATACCTAATGTAAAACTCTTAATTATGATACATTCTCCTTTATAGCTATTTTATAGTTTTATGTATAAATATGTTGGATTTTTATATATTGTTGGATTTGATTTGCTAATATTTTGTTAAGGTTTTTTTGTGTCTATTCATGAGTTACTTGATTGTACTTTGCTTGCAATATCTGTTTTTCTGGTTTTGTATTAGAGTAAAAAAAAGTCTCATAAAATGGACTGGGAAGTGTTTTTCTGTTTTCTGGAGGACATTTTGCATAGTTGTTACTGTTTATTCCACAAATGTTTGACAGAATTCTTCACTGAAGCCTCATGGATGTTAAGATTTCTTTGTGGGAAAGTTCAAAAGTATGACTTCACTTACTGTACAAGACATGGGGCTTTTTAGGCTATGTTTCTTAAGTGAACTTTGATGATTTTTCTTCCAAGGAAGTTGTCTGTTTCTTCATGTTGCACTTGAGAGGCAGCTGGCGGCACCACTGAGCTAAATCCCCAGCCCCTTGCTACTGGTATTTTTTTTCTCTTTTTCTCTTGAGCATCCCAGCTAGAGATTTATCAATTTTATTCACTTAAAAAAAAAACTTAAGGCCAGGAATTTAAGGCCAGTGGTTTTGGCGCCTGCCTCGCAAGGGCAAGGTCCCAAGTTTGATTCCCAGTACCAAAAAAAACCTTAATGTTTGATTTTATTGATTATTGTTACTGTTTTAAATTTCCATTTCTGTTGGATTTCTACTTTTATGTTTATTATTTTCTTTCTTTCTTTTTTTATTTTGGTATGGGGATCGAACCTGGGACCTTGTGCTAGCGAGGCAGGCGGTGGAACCACTGAGCTAAATCTCTGGCCCCTATTTTCTTTCTTTTGCTTGATTTTGGTATAATTTGCCCTTCTTTGCTATTTTCTGAAGAGGGAGACTGACTTACTGATTTGAGACCTTTCTTTTGTTCTTAAAATAAGTGTTTAATAAAAATTTTCCTCTAAGCATTACTTTAGCTATATCCCACAAAATTTCATACTGGGTTTTCATTCAATTCTAAATGTTTTTACCTTTACATTTTATTTCTTTTATGAGCAATGGATTAGAAGCATGGTATTTAATTTTTAAACATTTGTAGATTTTTCAAGTCTTCTGTTGTTGATTTCTACTTTAATTATGTTAAGTTAAGGGAAAATCATTTGTATGATTTTGATCCTTCTAAATTTTTTATATTTATTTGTTGGCACCAACTATTTGGTCCATTTACCTTGGTGAATTTTTCATACACACATGTGTATTCTGCTGCTGTTACTGAATGGACTTTTTTTTGTGATAGTGGTACTGGGCATTGGACCTAGGGCCTTTGCAATTGAGCTACATACCCAGCTCTTTTTATTTTATTTTATTTTTTATTTTGAGACAGGGCCTCACTAATTCACTGAATTGCCCATGTGGGCTCAAACTTTTGATCTTCTGCCTCAGCCTCCCAGAATGTTGTGATTACAGGTAGCTGCTACCATATCAGCTGAATGGAATGTTTTATAATTTTGATTAAGTTATGTTATTCTCAGGTAAATTTTGAAAGATATGCTAGAATTAGCCAGAGAAGAAAAGATGAGTATAGACATAGAATGTGTTGTAACAGAGCATAATCTATTCCTTTTATTTTTATTTGAGGAAAGTAGAGACGTGAGTGATGTTACACACACTCATGCTAGAGCTGCAAATGCAATACTCATTTCCTGAATAGCCTTTTGGGTTTATCAGGACATTTTCCCTGGAAGTCATGAAACTAAACTGGTCTTGACTTGGATTTTTATGACAGAGACACAGGGGAGTTTGGAAATAGCTTTATTCGAGGTGGGAATTTGGAGAATTTAAAAATATTTTTTAAATGGGTCATGTAGAACTTAACATGTGATGGGAGACATTCTTGTGTTTAGTTCTTTTTTTTTTTTTTTGGTACAGGGGATCAAACTTGGGACCTTGCGCTTGCGAGTCAGGCTGCGGAACCACTGAGCTAAATCCCCGGCTCTTGTGTTTAGTATAAGTGGTTAGGTTAACAACAACATCAATTGTATAATCCTTCAGTGTATCCTTTTACATGCACATAATAATATGGGTCCCTTTGAAGATCATGTAAGCAAGTATTGCTATTTTTCCTCACTAGGTAAATGAAAAAACAGAAGCTCAGAAAGATTAAATGATTTGCCAGAGGTCACACAGTGATTGGTGGACTTAGGCTATTACTTCTTCCCTGGTTCAGATTATGTTTATTGCCTGTTTCACTAGCTCTAATCACCTATCTCAAAAGGTATGCTATTTTTCATAAGGATATCAAAATATGAAGTTATAGTTAGATTAATAGAATTCTAACCTACAGTTTCCATAGTAGGATTCTGACTAATATTATTGAGCCAGTAATCTTTTATTAGTGAGTGAAGGATAGTATACATCACACTTCTTATTATCATAAATTAACAGTTCCGTAGTGTACATAGTTGTGGGCATTATATTACTGCCTAGTTTGTTAAGCATAGTTTTCTTTTTCTTTATTAACAGGAACAAAAGGATCTTTCTGAGTTTTATCATTGCCTGATTTTTTATTAGATTTATTAGATTTTTATTTATTAGATTTTAGATTTATTAGATTTTTTTCAATTTTTCACATCTAACTTCTCAAAATACTTCCACATACAGTTACTTCATTTTCTGTCTGTGTGTGTATGTGTGTATGAGATACTCCTATAAGATAAAGCAGGAAGTGATTTCTGCTTTTGGCTGATGAGAGAATTAAAGCATATACTATTAAAATTGATTAACTGCGTTATATGTTAGTTAACTGCTGATACCAGGCACCAGGGCTGTAATGATAAACAAGTCAGAGTTTCTTCTTCTGAAGAGCTCCTTATGAAGCAATTGAAGTTAGAATTAGAATCCAGGTCACATTTCAGTACTAGAACTATGTTGTCTCTTATTTTGTAGCAAACTAATTTTAATGTCAATTTTAATCTTTCTCAGATGTATAATATTTTATGTTTATAAAGTGTCAGATCCCATCTAATCTATAATCAATTTCATAATGCTTTCTTTTCTTGTATAAATAAAATCTTCATGAGACTGATTTACAATTTTCATTATAAATTTGTGATTGCAAACTCTTGTTTGGTATGTTGTATTCAACCCAGCGAATGATGTGAGTAAACAGGAATTATCTGTTTAATTTTGCTTTAGTAACAGAGGTAGGCTATTGTTACTAAGGAGTGAGTGAGTGTGTGAGAGAAAGATCTCTCAAATATTCTGTTCTGGTAGTCCTTCTTATCTTCCACCTTAATCCTCCCTCCCTCCCTCCCTCTCTCTCTCCCCCTTCCTCTCAGATGAGATCTTGCCCTGGCTGAATTTGAATTTGTGATCCTCTTGCCTTAACCTCTTGAATAGCCTGGAACATAGGTGTGTGCCACTGTGTCTAGCATGACCCCCTCTATAATCTTTCATGGCAGAAACAAATTTTTTAAAAGTCATAGTTCTTTTGGATGAAGTAGTGAAACTGTTTCACAGTTTGGCACTTCATATTATTTTGAATCAACTCAGATCTCATTTCTTTAATTCCCTAATTTAAAAAAATTCTCTAATTTTCTTTAGTTTTATTCCTCCCACCTTTCAAGTCAAGTTGAATTTGGGGTAGCACCGACTGCAACTCACACCAGTTGTGTCTGAAGGAAAGTGATATGCAGACAGTAATAAAGTACACACTTAAGACTTTAGGAATTGGATACTACTATGTTTAAACTGTCTTTTTGGAAATAAAGTATTAATCCTTTATATTTTTCTAGGGCTTCAAGTTTTTAAAGTGTTCTTACAGCTTTGCTGGATTGTGTTTTCTTTGAGATCAGAGCATGGATAGCATACCTCTGAATCTCCTGTCCTTCAGGAATAACTGATCTATAAAACCCTTAAGTGTTTATGGAAAATATGTTTGAGTAATGGTGCCTGTCATCTCAGAGGTTTTGTGAGGCCTTTGACTAAAGCAAGAAACGCTCCATTGATCACCTGGTCTTTTGATAAGTGATTTGTTTCTCCCTAGCTTCTTTAGCTGTAGTCAGCTTCTTTCTCAAATTGAAATGAGTCTTGTTACAGCTGTCATTCTCTGATCATATTAAAATATGACTTGGATAAGAAGAATTTACAGTGTGTTTTCTTTCTTAGATTCATGCCCGCAACCAAAATGAAATAATTTTTGGGCTTAATGATGGCTACTATGGTGCTCCATTTGAACACAAGGTAAGAGGATTCTCCTAATGCTCTGAGTTTAGTGCAGGTGTGCCTTGCACCTGGATAAATATAATCCTGAAAAGTTCTGTGTAAATAGAATTGTGTTTTAAGTATCATTGTAAATTTGTTGTTTAGTGTGGCTTGGGTTGAATGCTTTTTAGTGAAAGCATGTTTTGCAAGACATATAACCACTCCAATTAATCTTTTCTAATCTGGTTTATATTTTCTTAAAGGAAAACCTGAAGCAGTTCCTTTATTCTACATGATTCTTGAGGGGTGCAGTGTTAAGAAAGAATGGAGAATTATGATTACACACAGTATGGGTTTTTCAGAATGTTTCAGGCATCTTTATAACTTTTAATATATTTCAGAACCCAAAAGTCAAGTTGTTTTTATAGTCAGTGCTTTCTGTATATCTATAGGTGATTAGAAAAAGGCGAGGGATAAGAATCTATATTTACCAAGTACCTACTTTTTGCCACTATACCAAGTGATTTGTGCTTTTTTTCTACTTGATACTAGCCACAAGCCAATCTGGTGAGTTTTGTTTTCTCCATTTTACAGACATGGAAATTGGTTTTAAGAGATGAACTTATAGGATCTAGGAAGTAAATGTCTTGATGCAGTCCAGGCATTAAGTTCTCTGTGCAACTGGTAACTGTGTTTCCCCCCAAAATAAGACACAGCTGGAAAATAAGCGCTGGTCATTACCATGGTGATGGCCAGTGTCATGCAGAAGATTATATCTCAATATTCATTTGTTCCGTGGTTACTTTACTCTGTAATGGCAGGAAAGGCAAAGTGATTATGGTTGGTTTTTTTGATCTCTAGTTTTCAAGGCTGATTATTTTCTGGCTAAGTCTCATTTTCAGGGCAACACCATAGGTAACTTACCATCCAGCACAGTCTGCCATACAGTAATAATAACATTAATAGCTAATATTTGTTCAGTATTACTGGGCTGAGAGCTTTACATCTGTTACTGTATTTAATCTCCCAATAACATTATAGCTAAATACTAATTGTTGTTTAAGTTTTGGATAGGCCTATAAGTAATAGTCCTTTCTTCTGTGTTTGGAACAAGTTTGGAAATAAGATAGATGATAGATATGCTGGGTGTGGTCGCACATCCTTGATTCCAGCACTTTGGGAGGCTGAGGTGGTGGATCGCAAGTTCCAGCTTAGCCTAGGAAATTTAGCAATTTAGTGAGACCCTGTCTCAAACTTTTAAAAGAATTTGAATGTAGCTTAATGGTAGAAGTGTTGCTTAGCATGCACGAGGGTCTGGGCTCAATTCCCAGTTAAGCAAACCAAAAAAACAAGATAATAAAATTTCTGGAACAGAAATGGAATACAAACACAAAGTAGGCATTACTAGAAGCCTTGGGCCTTCTGGACTTCCAGCCCAGAAGTGGGCAGAGTTGGTGAGAACGTGGGTTCCTTGAGGCAAAATGAATGCTTAAAGCTGAGGTGGGGCTCTCCCTTTTACAAAAGGAGACTGAAAAAGACAAATAGAGAAACTGCAGAATTTTAAGCATAATTTTAAAGGAGGATTTTTGGAGGGTGGATGGTACTGGGGGTTGAACCCAGGGCCTTCACAGTGAGCTACATCCCCAGCCCTTCTTTGTTTATTATTTTGAGAAAAGATCTGGCTGAGTCACTAAGTTGCTCAGGCTGGGTTCAACTTGCAGTTTTGAGTCTCAGTCTCCCATAGTGCTGTGATTACAGGCTTATGCCACCACATCCAGCTAAAAGGGGATATTTTAAGAGCTATTGGAGAGAAAGGAAATACAGTGGTACCTTGATTCATGAATGCTTTTGTTTGCAAACAGAAGCATTTGGCAGAGTTTTGTTTTTGTTTGGAATCTCTGGATCATTGACAAACACAACTGCATCTATCTTTCCCACACAAACATGGCCATCTTTTCCAAAATCATGAAACAAATTAAATTTGTGAACCGAGAGGTACCACTCTATTATCTTATCAGTTAGCCTGACAGTAGACTTCTCCTTAGTAATAGTAGATGGCAGAAGAAATATATCTTCATGGCAGTCATAACCACTAAAGTGTAATTCTGTTTCTACTAAGCCTTCAGTCAGGAGTGAGGGTAAAAGAGCCATACATTTATTTATTTATTTATTAAATTTTTTCTTTTGGTACCGGGGATTGAACTTGAGACCTTGTGCTTGTGAGACAGGCAGCAGAACCACTGAGCTAAATCCCCACCCTGTATACTTTTAAATATACAAAGATTAATAATTTACTACCTTTACCTAAAGATACAAATACATAGAAAAACTATCTCAAGGATAAGGGAGGATAGTAGGATATAAGAAAATAGCAAGGATATAAAAATGTTTAAAACGTTAGTGAATTTAATCAACTACTGACTGTGCTATTAAAAAATCAATATTTGATAAATATATATATTTAAAGATAAACTAAACTATTGTCATTCAGAATATAGTTTGTGCATCTTTGGTAGTCCAAGAACTGTCTGTCACTAGTCTTAGATAAGCTAAATTCACAAAGTAAGAGTTAACGTTTCAAAACTTTTATGCAACTTGATATTATTGTGACTTTTTATTGTATTTTACAAAAGTACTGATTTACAACAGATGGAACAAAAAGCCCCAGTTGTTCAGATCCCAGGAAGAGTTAGAGAAATGCTGCACCATTCAGCAGTCATAAGATGAGGTGATAATGGAAGGGTTGACTCACTTGAAGTCACCGATTTGTTTGAGAAGAGGCTAGAAATATTAAATAACTTGAGGATTTGCTAGAAAAATTTGTACTGAAGTGTGCACGGTAAGAAATTTAAGGATGGGAAAACTAGCTTCCCACATGCTGAAAATTGAACCTAGACCCATATCTTTCGCCATGCACTAAACTAAAAGTGAAATGGATCAAAGATCTAAATATTAAAACAGAAATACTTAATCTACTGGAAGATAGACTAGGTAAAGCTGTTGAAGACATAGGTGTAGATAAAGACTTTATGAATAAAACCCTGATTGCACAGGAAGTACTTCAAAAAATCAATAACTGGGATCACATCAAATTAAAGAGTTTTTCCATAGCAAAAGAAACCACCAACAGAGTGAAGAGACAGACCATAAAATGGGAAAAATTTTCACCAGCTATGCCTCAGACAAAGGACTAATATCTAGAATATATAAAGAACTTTAAAACATCAGACACCGCCCCCCTCCAAATTTAAAGACCCAATCCAAAAATGGGGATCTGAAAGAAATAGATACTTCTCAGGAAGAAGTAAACAGCAAATAAATATATGAAAAAATGCTCAACATCCCTGGTCATTTGAGAAATACAAATTAGAACACATTGAACTTTCATCTTATTCCAGAAAGAATGGCTATTATCAAATCATCCACCAACAAGTACTGGCAAGGCTGTGGAGGAAAAAGGACCCTTCTCCATTGCTGGTGGAAATGTAAACTAGTATAATCACTATGGAGATCAGTATGGAGATCCCTGAAAAAACTAAATCCAGAAGTTCCATTTGACCCACCTGTTCCCCTCTTAGGTATCTTCCCTAAAGAGTTAAAAACATCATACCACAGTGATATATGCATACCCATGTTTATAGCAGCACAATTTATAATGGCTAAATCTTGGAAACAGCCCAAATGCCTATCAACAGATGAATGGATAAAGAAATGTGTTCATATACAATGGAGTAGTACTACTGTGCCATAAAGAAGAATGAACTTGAATTATTTCTAGGAAAATGGATGCATCTTGAGACCATAATCTTAAGTGAAATAAATTGGACACACAAGTTTAAAAAATTTTTTAAAGATACCTAGTAAACACTAGAAATAGATATTAGATTTCTAATTAGCAGAGGTAAAACAGGGACTATAAAGAATATAAAGTTTGTTAACTTCATAGGAGACAGAAAATGCAACAGAAATCAGATGATTAAACAGAAACGTGTGAGGGTAGCAGTAAGTCCAAATACATTTGTAATCACAGTAATTATAAATGGATAGCATATCCATATGTTTGAAATATTTTATAAAAATTTTCAAAAATGGGCCAGGGATTTAGCTCAGTGGTTCTGCCGCCTGCCTTGCAAGTGCAAGGACCCGAGTTTGATCCCCGGTACCAAAAAAGAAAAAAGAAAAAAATTTTCTTTTCAATGCTAAGGCAAGAAGGGTTTGAGAACAGGATTAAGGTTTAAGAATGTGTAGAGAAAAAGTTATACTTGTGAAACAATAACAAAGCACATTTTAAAGCAACTTTTAAATAGTGACTAGCTCTTTGACTAGCTCTTTGTCATTTGTTACATAAATTGTGATCAGAGAAACTATTATTGCTGATGAGTATGCTGATTTTTTTTTTTTTTTTTGAGACAGGGTCTCACTGTAGTTCAGGTTTGACTTGAACTCAATATGTAGTTCAGGCTAGCCTCGAACACACTATGTTGTCCAGGCTGGCCTCTAACTCACGGTGATCTCCTGCCTCAGCCTCCTGAGTGCTGGGAGTGCAAACATGTGCCACTGTGCTTCGCTGGAATATGCTGATGTTAGTGATTGTTTTGCTCACATTCTCTTAAAGTGTCTTCACCAGTAGCAGTCTGAAAGCTGGAATTACTTCTTATTTGCTTTGAGCTTTTTTCCCCCTTGTTTATCTGCTTTTCCAAAAGGCTTTCTCATTTCTGTTGAGTTTTTAGGGATCTAGTAAACCTTTCAACTATATACAGTACTACAGAGCATACAGAGTTCATTCTCTCACCCTAGAGTGTGTTTGCAAACTAATACAATAAAAATCTTTAATTAAATACAGGCTGGCTTTTGATCCTTTTTCAGTAAGCTCTGCTGATGTTATCAGGAATGGTATGTTCTAATTTTGTGTAGTAAAATTTCATTTATTTGATAAGCAAATGCGATTCCTTGAGTGTTTAACAGCAATGCAGGTGAAGTAACAGTTGAGTAAAGGAGGGTGAAAATCTTTGTCTTTAGTTGCAAAGATGACTTTTTTT